CGAACTTCACTGCAGTTATCAAATATACACATTAGCAAAACTGATTACAGTCCTACAAATATCAAGAAGAAAAGGGCAGAGATGTCCAAAACAGAAATAGTCAATGAGAGTAGTATATTAGCAGTGTGAGGAAATAAAATAAATAAGTAGAAACAAATGAGACGTGAAAGTAAGAACACTCAGCCTTGTGGAGCCAAGATTCTGAAACAAACAACTTCATTTACAACCATAAAACGACCTCCATGTCATTTAGATCCATTGAAACAAAACCAATATAGACATTGTCAATGTCATGAAATGGTGAAAAATGGAATCAAAAGGATATCGCACAACTCTTCCCCATCTTTATAATTTCAGAACAGCCATATCTGACGGATGTAGTGCCGTCTTTCATTAGAAAAACTGGTTGCTGCAACCCATAGCCGCAGTAAATGCCAGAGAATGCTGATACTGCAACTTCTGCTCCTGAGATACTTAGGTCTCTCTCCTATTTCCAAAGCTGCAATCATTTTTGAAGACCCCATTGCATGATTCAACTACCCACCAAGTGACATTTTAAGAATCTTCTAATATACATCTTTCTTTGAGAGAATGAAGACCCATTTTGGTACTCTAAAGAGGCGCAAAGATGGCCACATTACAGTGACTCAGTCCCTATATATTTTCGTGAGAGTTGCTAATGCCTCATCTTTTCGGCAAGTCATAATTTCCTGAAATATTTATAATTGCGTGCTGAATATGTTTCCTAGTTTTCGATAATTATATAATGGTCGACATCTTATTTTTTCTTGTCCTATGTATTCTTATTGCATTAATAAGGGTTCCCTAATTAGATGATGTATGCAATACACAGTAAATACCAAAAATGAAATCTTCATTAAGTATCCAATCTGCTAATACCTTATCATTCTCTCCACCTGCTTTGCAATGCTATACTCCAGATCTGCTTCCTTTTGCTTTGTCCGTCCATACTTCGCCATCTTCTTTGATTCCAATATCCGTGGTAATACATACAATTGATAAACCTCATGCAATAATATATACTGCACATTTAACATGAGACCATTATCTATTAGCTCACATTAATAAGAGGAAAAGATATAGTAGCACATCAACGTACCCGCCACACTGTTCACTGGTAATTCATCTTACACTCACTCAGCATCTTTACTATATTTATTCTATTAGGTATAGTGGAAAATTGAAATCATAATATATTAATGGGCAAGAATTGCTATCAGAGTGTTTTAATCTTTTCTGTATATTGGTTAATTGTGAGAGCCCACAGCTTTATAAGTGTCAAGTTTGTGCCTTCGTGGTTCTTCCAAGAACTTCATGACTTCACTTGAATTAGAACCTCAGTACCAGGTCTTTTGGTTACTGTCAAAAAATCTTGGCTTCAGTATACATTAAAGCATGTTATCATCCTCTCTTAGCCCTGATGCCGACTGATTCGGTACATGTGTAAGGTGTAACACAAGTTATTTATTCAATGCTACAGGGTTCTCTCCAAATGGAGAACCCCACGTTGGGTTCTCTCCTAGTGGGCAGGATAAGATTGCCCGCCGCGGGCAGGAGAACATTCTCGTTAGATATGGTAATGGTGTTCTTATGAAAAGTATGATTTTTTCAATGCTGGTTTTGGACCTATATTTGGCTATTTGAAGAGTGATTTTGGATTCTATATATCATTTGGTAATGAAGAGTTGCTCCGTAAATGACTGGAGATGGAACGACTCAACAATTTGGATTTGAACTTTCAAAGAATAAAGGAGCTAAGGATTTGATATAGGCATGTTAAAATGGAAATAAGGATGGAAACGGGACGGTTTGGCCATTTTCACTCCCTTCCCGTCAAGTTTTTTTTATTGCCTTACCCCGTCCCACCCCATTCCTATACCCATTTAAAGCGGGACGGGCCGGGGCAAGTCTACTGCCCCATTTATCGTCTAATTTATTTTTTCTTTTTTATTTATTTTATTTTTAACTTTTAACCTTTTTATGTCTTTAGTTAGTAAATATTATTACTTTTTTTACCAATTTATTAAAAACAATTTATGTTCTCTTAAAAAATGATGATAAATCTATTATTTTTGTTTGATAAAAAATTTAAATTTGAAATTAATTTTAAACGGGACGGGAACTATGTTTCCCGTACATGTCCCATACCCTCTTCGGGGCAATGACCCTCGTCCCGTCCTCTCCCCACTCACCCCCGTTAGGAGGGTAATCTCCTCCCCATTCGAGGCGGGACCCCATGTGTATCGGGTTAAATGGATTTTTTTTGTCATCCCTAATTGGAAAATATGGTAACAAGGATAGTTCTAGCATTTAAGGTAGTCTATAGAGTTCCCATGCACGCATGTTGGTATTCTAAAAATCTGGTGCCTAGAAGTGTAATTCTTAAAATTACAGGATGACCACGAAGAGCCAACAAGTATTTAACTTGATGCACGATTACTCGAAGCACAAAGAGAGAGTGTGTGATACATTAATGCCACTTTTTTTATTCTTTTTTTGCTAAATTGGATTTAATTCGTTTTATGGAGACATTTCAGGTTGCGAGCATGTAGTGACGACAAAAGATGGTATATTGAAGATCCCAACTCGGTAGAGGTGTCAATCCGGGTGGTCCGGGTCGGGTCGGCCCACCAACATGTGAGCCCAGTAACGGCCCGCGTGAAAAAAAGCCCGCCCGCTGCGGGTTCCGGGCCGGTTACGGGTCGACCCACAATTTTGGACTACAAGCCAGGCCCGCCCGCTGACCCATCCGGGTCGAGCCCATGCGGGTCACGGGTCGCGGTTCGTTCCGGTTTGGCCCGTATGATTATATAAATAAAATTATAAAAATATAGAATTTTTCCGGTTTG